GGAAAACAGTATCAGATTGATTCCAGTCCTTATAAAGAAATGTTTCACTTTTTGACTTTAAAAAAGACAGAGATCATACAGAAAAATCAGTAACATAAACCTTTACACCTTTTTTTCTAGTTTACACAAAAAAAAAGAAGCTTTAGGGTATTGGAAGGATGAGAAAATTAAATTCCCTTTGTAAAGGCTAATTTAATTTAATTTTAATTTTTCAGAACATCAATAAAAGGCCTTTCACATCAGTCACTAGCTCCCTATTACACAAGGAAAGCATTATTCTAAGGCATTTAAGACTTTGCATTTTGACTTTCTCTTTTGACAGGTTTGGAGTGAAGGGGAAACTCAGGATGGCAGTGCATACCACTTGTGTCAGAAAAAGATAAAATGTGAATGTTTGGCTTCCAAGGATGGAAGTGGGCATTAAAACTAAACCATATTTCCTGGTGTGTCTAATTCAAACCTATTGGAACAAGTATCTTGCAGAGTATTGATATTCAAATAGTCCTGGAGGCTCGTGTGCACTGGGTTATTTCATAGTATCATGCACATAATTAGGTGACCCCTGAGGGAAGAAATCAGTGCTTATGTAATTCAATTGAGGTCAAAAGTAGTTTCCAAACTGGGTTGGACCCCCAGGGTATGGAAGCAGGAGATAATTTCTAAGGCACAGAGGAAAATTCCAGCTGGCTTCTGTCCAGCTCCCTTCACTTTTCTTCTCTTTTCCCCATGCCTGAAGCACTGCCCCAGCACTTGCAGCTCTGTTGGCTCTGGAAGCTTTGTGGAAAAGGCAATCTGTGATTCCAGATATCAGAACCAGCGAGTGTGAAAGTCAACCATTCCAGAGATTGGGGGAAAAAAAAACAAACCCAAACAGCAAACAAACCCCAAACCCATTAAAAGGAAATGCTGCATATAAAGTTTATGAACTGCTGTCCTGGAAGCCACTGGGAGGGCAGCGACCTGCTGGGGCCATCAGATCCCGCCACCAAGGGGACCTCAGTGCACCAGAGTGATCCTGGCTGCCCCACGGTGCCCTGGCCTTCCTCCCTCCCCACGTGCCCAAGGCCTCAGGCGTGTCCTCAAAAAACCCTGCTGCTATGTGGAGGCTTTAAAAATTTTTTTGTGAAAGTTTAAAAGCTCAAGTTTAAAGGCTAAAAGAGCCTTTGGAACCACAGGCCGAGAGCACGAGTAGATTATCAATAACGTGTTTTTGTTTCTGTCTTGAATGAATTCTTTTCTCTCCAGCTTTCAGGCATCCAAATAACAGTAACAGAAGTTAATTGGACAGAAAAAGAACAAAATTGTTTTTGCAAAATCATGAAAAAAAACTAATTAATGAAGTCAACAAAAGTTTTCCCTAAAAATGTGGTGAGCCATTTATAAAAAGTGGATATGGACATCACTGGCTAAGTTCTCTTATTAAAATTTAAAATAAAACTGCAAATAAAAGATTTTTCTCTGACTTTCTTTTTAATGTCCAGTTCTGAATGAGTTGGAAATAAAGTTACTTTCCAACTTTGTATGGTGAAGAGAAGCATAAGAGAGGTTTTCTGGCTTCCTGTTTGCTCTCCAGTTTGTTTACTCTGTAAACAGTATAATGGCAAAGCACCCAAGTGGACAAGTAACAGGAAGAGTCCCACTTTCCCTTTTGTCATGAATAGGGATGATGAGGGATGTTGCCTGGACAGTGCTGAGCTGTATAAATCCATCACTGAGCTCTCTCTGGTGAGGCTGGAGACTGACAAATACCAGAGGTTTTTCTGAGGGATAAAAAGGAGTTTTGTAAGCATAAATACATCTGGCCCATTTTGGAGATGGATTCATAAAAAAACCATATTTAAGTGCTTAATTCTCAAAGCAACTCCTTTAAATGTAGATGGGAATATTGTAAAAGCTAAAGCTTAGAGAAGCTATTCTTAGTCTTGTGTGTGTTCTCTTGTCAGTTTCCCCCCTTGTGTCTCCTCTTCTCCTTTTTTCTCTAACAAGTTACCTGTTCATTTAAATTTGTTTTAAGATAAATTTGATTTAAATGTGTTTGGTCTTAAATAAAAAACACCAAACAGCTTTTTCTTCCTTTTATTGTTTTTTGTACTGTAAGATCTTATTATTCTAGCACTTGAAAATCTATTGATTAGCAGATGAAAATGAAAACCTTCACTTATATATACAAAAAGGTTCTTGCTAACTTTATACATATGAACATACGGGACTAGTGAGATTAGAGAAAAATTAATTTGATAATTTGTCACTCTTCTTATCACCATGTTCAGGAAAAAATAAAGACAAACAAACAAAAGAAACACCCAATATAGATCATGTGATAAGTGAGTTAAAGCACAGTTTGGGAAAACAGTTTTTGGGAAAAAAAGTCCACAAAAAACAAACAAAACCCAAATCCAGTAAAATGGAATCCTGCATTTGAAGTTTCTGAACTGCTGTCCTGAAGCCGCTGGTGGGGCAGTGACCTGCTGGGGCTAACTGGCTAGCACCAATTTTTAAAATTCCTTAGACTTGTATCATAGGATTTTTCTTTGGTTTTATTTGTTATTTATCTGGACCCTCAAGTAAGAGACATAGGGAAAACTTTTTTACTTCTAACACCTGAGAATTTTTTACCCTCTGTCATATGTGCATGTTCCAAAGGGCTCTGCTGCCTGATATTTTTCCTGCTGCCTGAGAAGTTTGACATCTAATGTATCCTTCATGTTCTAGCTGTAACCAGCAAAACTCACCCTTCATCTTCTTCTTCTTCTTCTTCTTCTTCTTCTTCTTCTTCTTCTTCTTCTTCTTCTTCTTCTTCTTCTTCTTCTTCTTCTTCTTCTTCTTCATTCCTACCTGGGGACTTTTTAATTTTCTTTCTCTCTTTCTTTACTTTCTGTACTATGAGCCCATTATCTTGGTTTTCTTACCTCATACTGTTTGTGCTGCTCTGCCTTCTCTACCTACCTCTTTGAGTTTTGTTTCATCCCAACAGCCTTGGTTTGTGACAGAGAGCATGAGATGAGTCAGACTGACAATGCAGTTAGTATTTAGAATTGAAATAAGGAAGTCTGTGTCATCAGTGGGAATCTGGACTTGTAGGTGTTTTTGATAATACTTTGAGCTTTTGAAGAAAATTCTCTTAGGCAGCTCAACTGACAAAAATCCACCAAAAATTTTTCAGTACCTTGAATCTGACAGTTTAGAAATATCCACTTCAAACAATGAATTTAAACATTCTGAAATATTTCCAAAATGCTTCTCTTATGGAGCAGGAAGCCTTAGCTGCATCTCCTGAAGGATCTGCTGTTGCGATGGAAACTTGGATGTGCCTCAGATGAAATTCTGTCTCTGGCAATTGACATTGTCACTGTTGCAGAACAGAGTTCTTTAGTAGATCAAAACATTTCATCATATTTTTTGCAAAATTCACTCCAAATACTGAAGGATGCCTATGCAAAAATTTTCTAACCTTGCTTCTTCAGAGACTGCGAAGACAATGAATTGTCCTCCCTTTTTTTACCACTACCATGTCCTTCTAGAAATATTTAAATAATGAGATTCAGCAACATGAACTAAACATGATGCTTAAATATACAGGAAGGAATTAAAGAGAATATTTAAATGTGAAAGTTGCATAGCCAAACTGCTCCCTGTCATCCGATAACAGGACACTCCCACTATTATGTTTACTCTTAAACCTCAGAGTTTGATGAATTGTTCAGAACATGTTTCCAAGATATGAATCTTCCAAAAATAAAGAAAAGATATTTTACCAATTTGGAAAAACAGAATTAAGTGACTTTTTATGATATTTTCAAGACAGATGATAAAAAACCAAATAAATAAAATATTCCAAGTAACACCTTAATGGAGATATAACATAATTTGCACTAATGAAAAAATATTCTTTTAAAGTGAGTGATTTTCAATTTTATGTACAGGCAAGAATGGGAATTGGCTCTTTACCAGTTTAAATACAGCAAGAGTGATCCATATTCAGTGGATCCTATCTTTGACTTGCATAAATCTTAAGCAACCTTATTTGCTTTATACAGCCAGATTCTCAATGTGGTAACAAATTATATTAACCTCTTCATTATGAGGAAATAATTTTGTGTTTATTTTCCTTACAATTCCATAAATTAGATCGACAGCTAAGGATCATATAAAACAAAATTTATGTTTCTAAAACTATTCTCTAACTTGATAATTACTTACAGGGTTACATTTTCTGTAGAAGATTGGACTGCAGAGTTTTTTGAAATAAGTTTTCATATTCTTTATCCCTAAGTATTTCTATCTCCTCTTATTGAACAGAAAAGGGAAACAGATCTCAAGAAATTGATCTCTGAGATTCTGCCATGTCTGATATACAATATAGTCCATTATAAATAACCAATCATCTCATAGAGGATGAGAATGGTGATAAGGAGGTGAATATTTCCTCAATGCTCTCTGCAGGATCCTCTGTCAGCAGGCCAGGGGTAAAATGAACTTACAGAACAGTAGGAGAGAAATCTTACACCATCACACTGTGCTCCTGGGGAATACTCAACTTTATTCACTTATTTGCTCCCCACCTGGAAAGTCAAATAAAGAGGAAAAAAAATAAAAGTAATTTCAAGCAATTTTGTCTTTTTGCCTGATTGAGCCACATAGTGGAATGTGGGAAGGCAAACAAAGTTCTCTAGTCTCTGCCTGCCTTGCTTATCAACATCCAGAAGCAGATGTAACAAGTTTCAGGAGAGAGAACACAAGCTCATGAAGTCTGTAGGTAATACAAAATATTTTGTCCTGGGAGTATGGGCACTGAAGGCTATGGTAAACAAACTGGCAGTGCCTTGGATTGAAACATCCTTCATTCTATAATTAATCACAAGATTATTTTTAATTAACATCTGTAAAATGTTGCCACTTCTGTTGAAGGCATACTCAGGGCTGATGAGTATGTGGCTCTTGGTATGTTGGCTCGAGTTCCAATTTATTAGACTTTTCTTTCTGTTTTTATTGCATTACAGAAACTCAACTTACTGTATGAAAGTGTCCATTTCGCTGACGGTGGGTGAAAATGACACTGGACTCTGCTACAATTCAAAGATGAAATATTTTGAAAAAGCTGAACTTAGCAAAAGCAAGGAAATCTCATGTCCTGAAATTGAGGATTTTTTATTTCCATTTAGGGAGCCTGAAATTCTGTGGTATAAGGTAAGGAATGCAAGACATTTATACTTTCAAATATATATTATGCAGTGTTATGATTCTCTTGATCAAAATGTGTTATGACGATTTTCTAAAATTTTGTCAAGAAAAGACAACAGAACCAATGGTAGAAAAGAATTGACTAATTGAGAAAATGAAATGCTTTGAACTGTATGAGAAATCTATGTATGCTTTACCTGAGTAAACAGCTTAATTTTGCAGCATAAAATTCAGCAAATACTACCAATATTTCAGTTTATACATATATACTTAAAGTTATATTTGCAAATATAATTTCATTTTTTTATCAATAACTATTTCAATATTGTGTTATGCTTTCTAGATCATTACTTAAGGGCCAAGTTCTTGAAAGTAGTGTTGCCTGTGGGCAGTGCAGTAGAATTATGGTATACAAGACTGTATTACCTAAAAAGTAAAATTTTGTGGCCTGGAAAGATAATGTCCAAATTAACTGATAGCATATCTAAGATAGGAAAAGTGTAGCCAACTATTTGCTTATTTTAATCTTGGATTTTGTCTCTTTAAAAAAATACTTATTTAGATTAAGAATGCATTTTTTCTAGGTACAGAAAGTTTAGATTCTAAGATTGTTTTAGAAACAGTTATGTAACATCCTAATTTCTCCTCATTCTCATCTTCTGTTTCTCTGCATTTTTAAATTATAATTATATTTTAAAAATTGAATTAAAAAAATTATTCTCTGCGGCCCGAGCTGCTGGTAATATAAAAATCATAGATTGCAGAAAAAAGTGTAATGCTAAATAAGTAAATTAAATGAGAGAAACTCAGCAAACTAATGTCAAAAAGAACCCACCAAAGGAATCAACTACCTTTTCTAGCCAGAGGAATAAATATGAAATCAGGTGATAAAATTAGTTTTAACCAACATCTAAATAGACTGGATTTTTACATATTTAGTTTACATACTTTTAGAACTAGCCTGGGCTCTTGCGTAGCCACCTTTACTTGGGGAAGCATTGGCCACAGAGGTCCATTTTAAGTGTAAAAACATGATCCCTGAAGTTTTATATTCTCTTTAAACAGGAATGCAAGTCAAAAACATGGAGATCAAGTATTGTGTTTAAGAAGGACACTCTTGTCATTCGGGAAGTTAGAGAGGATGACATTGGAAATTACACCTGTGAGCTAAAATATGGATTCTTTGTTGTCAGAAGAACTACGGAGTTGACAGTTACAGGTAATTACAGGCTCTTTCTATCTCCTATATTTAGAAAAAAAAACCTCACTGAGTATTGTGGTTCAAGTTGTGTGGTTTTGAGTTATACCATTTGCAGACATCTTTGCTATCTGCCTAGGTATGAATGGTTGATACATTAAAGCAGTCTTGAATACTCCACAGGGGTGTCTATAATACCTTGGCAAGTCTGAGTTTTGTTCTGTTTGAAAAGCTTGTGGGCAGCACTTTTTTTTTTTTTTTTTTTTTTTGAGTGGAAAATATGGTCAAGGAACATGTAAATTTCAGAAAGTATGACCTCTTACAGAGAAAAAATATCATTATGTCTATCATACTGTGTCATGTGATTAAATTACCTGGGACATCAAAATAGCTGTAGCAATAACTCCATGGTACAAACTCTAATTGTCTTTGGACATGAAAACAGCTGTAGCCACAACCCAAGAGCAGTAGCTCTTTCCCAGTGGGGCCATTTAAAGTGTTGAGCAGTGAAAGATGAAGGACAGGAGCATTTTTCCTCTGTTATTCTCTCCGCACTTTCTCTAGTTTATAGTTCAAGAACTTCCTGATCTCACTCATCCTGTGCTGTGGTTACCAATTAATCTATTTTACATTAGTCTGATTATTTTTTTAATCCATTTAGTCTTGGCTTCAGAAATATTTTGAAATATTAAGTTCCACATAGTAATTATGTAACATGAATAAACTCTATAATTCAGCAAACAGCAATTGCATAAGATGCATTTAATATAACCTGCTTTTAAAACTACCATATCAATATTTAAAATCCATTATGAATGGAAACAAAATATATACTGTAATAGTAATGTCCACAGCAACAGAACAATGTGAAGAATGGTCCACTGAATTTTCAATTCCTCATCAGACTTCTAACCTCCATTTTACAATTATGTAAAACATATAGGTGAACATAGATGCAAGGTAAAAATGGGCTTTTACAATTATAGGATTAAAATGGTAAGAAGGGGTGCATCATGATCTGTGTAATGCTGGTGGTTTCACAATGTATTTCCTAAAAGAAGGCAGAATGAGGATTTTCTTGGTAAATTAGAGGTGAACTAGATCCATATGGTTGACAAAGAGGCTCATATGTCTAAGTTCACCTTCAAAATATCTGGGAAACCAAAAAAAGTCTTCCAGAATAATTATGTGGGTTGTTCTTGATCCTTTTTTTGTATCTAATATATAACTCTGAAGCACAGCAGCAACTAGGAACACACTTATGTTAAGCATTAGGTTGAATTGCAACCTTAGCTTTCTTCAGTGGTGAAAAGTTTGCTGTCTCATTCACTGTATCCCATTTTCTCTCCACATTAATAGAAATTATGGTCAATTAGGGAATCCAATTTCCCACTGTTGGATGTCTCTGGAAATCATATTGTTTATGTTGCTTTGGTAGATTCAAGTAATCAATCATATTTATTTAAACTCAATAACCAGAATCTCTTTGTTGTTGTACAACATTGATTTATTTGGTCAGTACAGATAGGAATTACTGTCGAGTGATTAACCTCACAATAAACATCCACATAGTCTTGATGGACTCTGATACAAAGAAAGCAGAGAAAGATTATTCAAGTGTATGATTTATACCAGAATGATGTCAATGATCTTTTGCAATATTTGATACCTGGATTTCAAAAGTACATATTTACTGCATCTTTAAGTGATCCCTTCTGTCCTTTTGGTTAGTGCTCTACTGCACAGCAGTATTTCAACAGGCTCAGACTGACAGAAAAGAAAAAGAAAAAAAGCATTTGAACCAGATTCATGTTACTATTTGTAGGAATAGTTGAAAAAAAAAAGTAATTCATCACTTGTAGTGTAGGTAGGAGTTCAGTATTTAATGTTTAACTAGACAAAGGCAGCAAGAGACTTGGCTGATTTTGATGTGCTAAAAATGAATGAATTCACAGGGAAGGAACTATTAAATCTCCACCTCTGCAAAACCCAGCAGATTTAAGGACAACCTCCAAATTAGTAAACTCCTTTAGAAGTACAGTAGATCTTCTATCTACAGTGGATATAATATTATCTTTATAATATTATGTGAATAAACAGAACAAGCAGATAGATTTACTCATTGTACAAATTTTTGTTACACCTGTTCCTCACCACCTCCTCTCTCCAGGCAACTGTGGAGTGTCACCTCTTAAGGATTCCCTTCTTTTCCCACACAGTGAGTTTTTTCAGAATTGCTGTCTCCTTTAGGGAAACCTGCTGCTCTTACAGACCATTGACTATGGATGCAATTATAAACATGCTCTTTTCAATATTGGTGTTGTATATCCTTTTTATAACCTCTGTGCTTTACACCTTAAATATCTGTGTGCCTCATAGTGGAACATGCAATGCCTCGTATTCTGATTTAGCATTGAAGATGAAAAATAAAAAGGGAATCCACACATTTAGAAAAAGATCAAACTCATTTAATAGGTAATATCCATCTCATCTAAGTATAGCATTTGAAAACTCCTAAGCCATGGAAAAAGATAATTTCCTTTCTGTTTAAAAGATTATTTTAAAAATTGCCTCTTCTTAGGTTAAATTATAAGCACTCACTGTCACTTTGGGCAAGCCTTTACAGTACACCTTTAGAGTAGCAACTAATTAATGGCTCACTTTTTTGTTTGTTGTTTTTGGGTTATATTTTGTTTTTTTGTTTTTTTTTTCTTTGATCTTAATGGAAACTTTTTCAAATTTTCTTAAGATGTGTATCTCACACTGAAAAAATATAAGTGATTTGAATCAATTTCTTTATTTTTCTGAGATGGAACCTAGAAATTCCCTGTTTTGCAAAACAAAAACTATATACTGGTTATTTTAGCTTGTAACTAATCAAAATAGTCACATAAATGTTAGGGTTTTTTTGGTTTTGGTTATACAATTACACATTCTACAATGTCCTGCAATGCACAAAGTCATTTGTAGTCTTTTATAGTTCAGATGAGTAGGTTTTCTTTTATATGTGGAATTTTAATTAAGGCATTCCTGCTGTCTCTGACATAATTTATTAAGAATGTTTTTAGCACTGGGAAAGAATCCTATTAGAAAAGGATAGTGTTAATTTAGTCATACTGCACAACATAGGTCAAAAATACTTCACTTCAGTGATTTAGTTTATTTAAATATTAGGTTTACTTATTTTTTTAAAAAATTTTGTTTGTTTGTTTGTTTTTACGTATAGTACTAAGACATTTGCAAACTCTTTCTGTTTTTGTTGAAGTCCAGCCTGTGTCAGAGAGAATATACCTGTCCTCACTGCAATAGGATATGCAGTGAACATCATGAACACCATAAAACAGACAGACCCCATCAGTCTTGCAGTTGGAACATTACTTATTCTATTTTAGTTTAAATATTAGAATACTTTCTTCCATTCTGTCAGAAGTAAGAAAACCTTATACACTGCAGATGGAACCAGAGCTAATCAGTAGGTTCTTAATCCTGAATCCTTTCCTCATAGATACCCTTCGTTTTCTTTATTCAATGATTAGACCCCAGGAAGTTCCCTTAGAAAGAACTCCTGCTGGAATGAATACAGTTTTAGTCCAGCATGTTTACAATCAAGCTATAAGAATAATAAATTGTCAGAATAATATTTTTTTTATTTAAATTCAGCCTGCTTGGTTCAACAAATTTCTGCAATAATCTTGAAAGTGCCCATTTACTCTTTTCTCTCTTCAACCCATTACTTTTTTCATCTTTAGGTTTTTTTAGGCAACAAAAAAAGGAATGCAATTTTTCTCATTCAGTTATGCTGTAGTCAACTCTTAGTACTGTTTAAAGTTTGGGTTATATTGAATAAGCTTGTCTCTTTTGCTTTCTGATAGATTTAGTTCTCATTAACATAATGGAAAATATTAAATGACTACATGTATGTATGCATTTTTAGAGCTGAAAATATCACTGTAAAAATAAACACTATGAAGAAATAATTATGATTAAATTATATACCTAGCCTCACAGCTCAAAACATGTGGATCTTTTATATACATCTAGCAATCATATATTGTGAATAAAAACAAAACAAAAAAAATCTTGAAACAGGACACACATGCACACATACTTCGAAGATTATAGCCTGCTTTAAGTGGTCTGTATTTTAACTGTACAAGACAAAATGTTCACCATTTTTTCCCCAAAAAAGTTGGCTTCAATTTCTTCTTTCACATTCAATACATCAGAATGCAGAGAGGTGATGCCATAAGTATGTTCCTCTTTATTTTTGGCAGGTGCTAGGTGAGAAAAGTATTAAAGAACAAAGAGAGTTGTTTTCCAAGCATTTAGAGATTTAGCACAGCCTCTGCTTTGTTTCTGACATTAATGACTAGTATGAACCATATTGAATATACCCAGTGACTACTTGATTCAGCTGATCCTAATAATTATCAGAGCTGACGTTCATTCCTTTTGTTCATCATTAATTTAATTCAATTCCAGAACATACTCTGATAGAAGTTCTATTTACCATTTATCTATGCAAAGACAAGTAAAATACCAAGCAAACAATAGACTCATTATGAGAACAGCATGTTCAAAATACTAACCTAGCATTTCAAAATGCATAAAATTCTGTAGGTTTAACACAGCTATGGCTGAAGAGTGGGATGATTTTTTTTGTAAATTAGAAATAAGTGCTTTTCTTTTATAGTGCAATCATTTTAATGCTCCTGAAAACAAGGGTCTAAATGAATTTCCTGTGTGTATTTGAGTAATAATAATCAAAACATTATGTCGATGTTTGATAAATGTTCTCTGTAAACATTCACTTAACATATTTATTATAAATGGGTTTAAAGGGTTAGTCAAAACTAGCCTTATATGAAGACAGCAAAGAGCAAAGCTTTATGTATTTTACCTCAAAGGAAGAGAAGATGATGTCATGTAGTCTCTGTTATAAATTGAAATGATGAATTAGAAAACCAGCTTCATCACTTTGTCAAATAAATGCAGAAGTTAAAGGGAGAAAAAATTCCAGA